GGCTCGACCGGCCTTGCTTGAAGATAGAAGCCACCACCTAGCTCATACAGAGATACGGATTCAAGCTATTTCTTAGTCTGCCTTCTTCCATTTTTTTTTTTTTTTTTTTGGAGACTCTTTCTCGCAAAGCGGAGGTGACAGACGAGGTACCGGTCCTGCTGACAGCCGAAACTGCGCCAGAGTATACCAAACAAGCTGTCTCTTATGAGATAGAAAAGGCACAAAGGGCTCTACAAGGAGACACGACTTCGCATTGCCCTTGTCTTCATTCTGAGGGTATACACGTGGTGACATCGCCGCGAGTCGCTCCGTATCACGCGCTGAGCTCTCAAGCCTCCACCAACAGTACGATGAATTTATTTCGAGCACGGCACAGCGCCACAAATGGATCTTCGAGCGACTCGCGGTCGGCTGGAGATAAGATTGTGCACTTGAGCAGCGTTAGCGGGGGTCGCGCGGGTCCCTCCCGAACGCCTTGGCGACTTTCCTGTCCTGGCCTGTCCCCCTTCCAGCGACTCGTTTCTCCGGCCTTTGACCTTGCCCTCCTTCACACTTCTTCCATCACTTCGATAGCTGTTTGCTACACTTCCGGTCCTCATCGCTCTCACTCTCCCACTCCTTCCTTCATCCATCCTTCTCGCACCGACAGCGTACTCCCGCTTTCAAGGCCGGAACAACAATGGTGTGCCTTCGCCTTCTATCGGCACTGGCGCTGCTCCCAGCAATCATCAATGCCTCCCCAACTAACTTCAAAGTCACTCAACGAGACTCCAAAGCCAAGCTGTACGTCGTCGTCGATCCCGAGCTATCAACGACACCACACGGCGCGCGAATCGCTCAACAACCGCGCCCTGAGCCAGACGCGGGCACTGACCGTTCCTCGTACTTCTGTTCAGTGAGCACCACAAAGTCGTTATCCTTGGAGGTGGGTCCCTCCTCTGGGGCTTTGCTGCATGGAACGACAGCTCGATGGTGCTGACATCGGTGGACTTGTCGGGCGCGTACAGGCGGTGTTGCTGGAATCATCGCAGCACGCACGCTGCACCGTGCTGGCATCGACGACTTCATCATCGTCGAGGCTAGGCATGAGCTCGGTGGAAGGATGATGTCTACCGTTCTCCCGGATAGCAACGTGAGTGCCATCCTCTCTTTCGTCCCGAGGGATGCGTACTCAGGCGGTCTCGTGCGTGTATAGATTACGGTCGAGCTCGGTAGGTTTGGCTGCCACTTTTCGAAACATTAAGCTGTATTACTAATCGCTTCCGCTTGGAAAAGGCGCCAACTGGGTCGAGGGTCTCGGCTCCGACACTGGACTCCAGAACCCAGTCAGTCTCTCCGTTCTATAGGTCGTCGAGAAGCACTGACACTTTGACCGAATCATAGATCTATGAGCTTGCGTTGAAACACAATGTCAGCCTGGTCTACAACGACTGGGATGACTTGAACTACTATGACCAGGACGGCGACGCAGAGGACCGCTTCACCACCAACAACGTGTCTCGCTGCGACGTGGCTGATGACGCCTACAGCACCAGTACGTTCTGTTGAGCGAGCCGCGTTCATTCTGAAGCTTACTTTCTATCCCTCTCTTCCTTTCCTCTAGTGATCGCTGGTGCCGGAGCTCGTATCGAAAACAACCAAGTCGACCTGACGTGTCGCTCGGGCTACCAGCTCACGGGAGAGCGCTTCGTTCTCAACCAGTACGACAAAGCTTGTGAATAGTGAGTGGCTACCGATGTAGACACCTGATTTCAAGTTGAAACTAACCCTTTCTGTTCTTACTTTAGCTAGTGAGCATAACCGCTTCTCCGAGCTCGTTCAGAGGAAGGGACGCTGACACCCTCGCCTCAGCGACTTTGACTGGGAATGGGGACAGACCCCCGAGCAATCTTCCTGGATCGCAACTTCCCATGCCTATAATGCTACTTTCGACCCCGACGAAGGATTCGGCGATGATGACTTGTTCTGTGTGGATCAGAGGGGTAAGCACGATCCCACCAGCGTATCCTTCCCGTGCTGACCTTTTGTGCTAGGATTCAAGACGTTGATCCTCCAGGAAGCGGCCGAGTTCCTCAAGCCTAGCCAGGTTTACCTCAACTCGACTGTCAAGACCATCAAGTACGACGAGAGGGGCGTCACGGTCCGACTCGAAGGCGGGAAGAGCATCACCGCCAACCACGTGCTCGCGACGTTCTCGGTCGGCGTGCTCCAGAACGACGACGTCAAGTTTGAACCTGCTCTCCCTGATTGGAAGCAAGTGCGTTGCAACTCTTCTTTCTTCCCTTGTTTGTAGCTGAGTCGCTCATTCTGCGGTACAGGAAGCAATCCAGACCATGTCAGTTCCTTGCTTGACCGCCGCTGTCAGTCGCAGAGCTGACACGCTGTCCATTGTCAGGAAAATGTCGACCTACACCAAAATCTTCCTCAAGTTCCCTTATCAGTTCTGGGATGATGCTGAGGTGGGTTTGCCCTCTGTTACGTTGCCAGCTCTGTGCTCACACGTTCTTGTGCAGATGGGCCTGTACGAAAGCTTCGCGCAACTGAAAGGAGTCGAGCCTGCTAACAACGGTCCACAGTTACGCCGATCCTTACACTCGAGGATACGTAGGTTTCGCTTTTGCGGCTTCGAGCGTTCAGACGTGGTACTCACTCTGCATCCATCCAGTACCCCGTTTGGCAGAACCTCAACCTCGAGAAGTTCTTCCCTGGATCCAACCTGTACTTTGTCACGGTTACGTGAGTAACTTTCTCCTAGTCGCCTTTGTCGGCGCTAATCTCAAACTTGACCTCAGGGGAGATCAGTCGGAGCGAGTCGAGAGCATGCCCGACCACGTCATTCAGGCCGAGATGATGGCGTACGTCGCTTCACACCACCCGCTCTCAAGTGTAGAAATTCAGCGCGTCTCTTCACAGTGTGCTACAAAACATGTACCCGAACATCACAATCCCTGAGCCAGACTACATCTTGCTTCACCGCTGGCACGCCGACCCCCTCTTCCGTGGTGCGTGTGCTTTCATTCGAGTTTGACGGAAGCGGTTGCTAATTTTACTTTCCCTTCGCCAGGTACCTGGGCCAACTGGCCTTCAGGATTCGTCACAAACCACGTAAACACCTTTCCGAGCTTTCCCATGGGAGCCAGCTGACGTGAGCGCGTCTCGCAGATGCTCAACCTCAAAGCGTCGGTCAAGGGTCACCTTCACTTTGCGGGAGAAGGCACCAGCCTGGAGTACTACGGGTACGTCCCGTATCCATACCAATCTAGATGACTTTCTCATACGACCCGGCCGACAGCTATCTCCACGGCGCCTACTTTGAGGGCCTCGCTCGTGGAACCGCCATCGCAGAGTGCATCAAGGGCAACTGCACTGCGGTCACCAACGGAAGTGACTTTGAGCAGACGGACTTGTTGCCCTACCCGATCGTTGTGCCGGATGAGTAGATTGATGAGGAGTTTGAGTGTTGTCAATAGAGCGATAAAAGGCTGTGAGCCATCTTTCGGAACAATCTACAAGTTGAGTCTTCCATCACCTTCCCACCAGTATGTCCCTGTGCTCCCGAACAGGAGCAGAGCCGTACTACGAGCGGTAGGCTTTGATCTGCTCCTTTGAGACCGTCTTCCGGTATCCCAGATAGTGAGCGACCCAGCCTCCCGCGACCGCAACGAAGAACGACTCGAACGCGCTGACGTGGCCTAGCCAGTTCATTAACGAAAGGTCAGGCAAAGCGCTTTCTCCAAAGAATGAGCCTATAAGCCCATTTTAAAGTCTACTCACCAGGCAGGGAGGGGTAGCAGTCACCTTTGTAGGACGCAGCGAAGAACTCGAGCATGTTGAAGCGAGCGTTCGGAGGGAACACGTTCCTGGGCGACGGGAGTCAACGAAGGGAGGCAAAGGTTGAGGTCAGATTAAGCCGTAAATACAGCCTGATATACTGGCTTTCTGCTCACCTGAAGAACACCAGTTTGTTCAAGTCTGTCTCTTCATTCCCTGTCCTCTCCCTGAAGATCAACTCCTCGCCCTCCACCTTCCTCATCGTATGCCTCACTCCTCTCTTCACAAATACCTCTCCCTTCTCCGGAGTTAGCTCACTCTCAACACCATCTAGAGTCACGATCATCCGTCCCGAACCGACAGAGATATACTCGTCGTGCGTTTGATGGTAGTGCTCGGGGATGACGAAAGGAACGTGAGAGGGGACGGTGTGAACCATGATGTATGGCCCAGTTCTGGGGAAAGTGATGAATGAGGTGTCTGCAACTATATGAGAAGCATGGATTAGCTTTGAGCCGTGATGGTAGAGAAAGGGCGGAGGAAGGGCGGCGGACAGTGGACTTGCGAGGGGAGGGTATCAACGGCGGAGGACATCGGCGCGCCGTACAGATAAGGAAAGGTAGTGAAAAAGAAGCAACCAGACAAGAGCTATTGGCTCCAGTTTTATGGAACGCACTGCCCGTAACTCCGGGGCGACGGACGCCGTAAACCGCGAGGCGCTCTCGCTGGATTCCGTTCCGCCGTGCTTGCCGGTTTCCGTTTGTGGAGATACGAAGCACAGCCACATAGGCCATAGACCTTGCCTAATTTAAGCAGGCCAAGAGAACTTGTTGTGGAGGCCTCCAGCAGGATGTGTTGCCTTTTTGAAAGGGCCGGCGGAGGCGCGGCGCGGAGGGACCCGCGCGTTTGAGGACGTTGTGCTCCGGCGCAAGTGGTGATATCAAGCCCATACTTGGGCAGAATGAATAGGACAAGTTCTCAACTACTTCTTAAATGTCAGCACGGTGACAAGTACGGAAGCGAGGGCGATAGAGCGCCCGCGAACGGGAATCAGGCCCGCCCGGCGAAAAAAGCATTTTTTTTTTGTATCTAACGACTCTTATTGCAGGAGCTACTCGACTACAGCAAGAGAAGAAGGAGATAAAGGAAGAAATGCTTTGCGGTCAGAACTCGGTGAAAAAGTGCTTATATAGCCCAAAACCGTTCCTGGACGCCAGAAATGATGCAAATCTCCTGTAGCACAATGGTAGTGCTTTGTGCTTATGTATTATTTTGGTATTTGGACCGCCAGGCCCTCTGCCAGCATCCCCCTTTCCGTGACGCAAGGGTTGTGGGTTCGAGCCCCACCAGGAGAAATTTTGTCTTTTGGCTCTCTCCCGGACTTCTATATATTCATGGTTAGGTGGCCCCAGGTCATCTTTTTGCTTTTCGTAGTCCCCGAGGGTGCGCGCGGGCGCGGCAGCTCTCGCCGTGCTTTCTTGTCCTTTTTGGCATAACCAGGTGTACAAATGGTACCATTTGAAGTGGCACGCGACGCAGGAGTGATACGGATGTCGAAACTTCCTGCAAAGTTCTATTGAGAAACTTCACGGCCTGCGTTCACGGTGTGGTCTGCGGCCACGTGGCTCCGCCTGCGGCAAGCGTAAGTATTGGAGCTGCGTCAAGAATAGATCGACTGAGCAAACACCAAACCCCGCCAAATCTTTAATTGTATACTTCAGGTCAGAGGGGAACGTTAGAGATTGTTGAGGAGTATGATGCCTCAGCGGCAGCACGCACGAGACAATGGTATCTCGAGAGGCGGGGGCGGCAGGGAAGCTCCTTTGGCCCTAATGACTGCCAGAGATGACCATGACTGGCCACTTGGTGCAGAATTTTTCAACAATAACAGAAAACAAATGTGAAACTGCAGTCCTCAAAAGTACACACCTTCGCTCCTTGTTTAAAAACGCCAGTCTCGACGGATTCGCGTGCCAAGTTTCATGCATGACTGCTTCGAAGATCTCGTGTTACTTGCATTACTTCACCGGCATTATCGGAGGCTCTCACCCAGAAACTTCGGGATCAGAGGTGTCGAGACCTGAGCGTGTATAGAAAAGTGCGGGGGTGGCCTGTGCCCTCGGCGTGCGTACGTATCGCAGTACGCGTTGGAAGGCTGTGGTCTGACAGCGGCCCTTCGCTGCTTGTCCTCCTACCATCGACACCAGCTTTTGTCATACTCTAATATCTACAATATGGCTTCACCAGCACATCTGAATGGCGACCCGCAAGCTTCAGGCGTCCTTTCAGCTCCCATCGCCTCTCGAGCCGCCGCGACCTCTGCGGAACCGCTCAGCTCGGGGCCTATCCATTCGATTCCCATCCCTGACCGTCCTCCCGTTGGCTACCGATTCAGAGAGATATTATTTGGCATCGTCTGGGCCATTGTATTCATCCTGATGCGCGCAAGTCAGATGGTCATGTACCCGCTCAGCTTCGTTCGAGGAGGATGCCGCCGAAGGTGCGTCGCGCGTTTCCGTTCTTCGCTGGCGCTTCTCCGGCGTACGCAGTACCTATGAAGACTTGCAAGAACATGGGGGCACTTTCGAGAGCTCTTTGAAGCTCATTCGCTCGGAAAGAATCTTCGAAGAGGCGGACATGATGCTGCACAGGAGCTCGGAATGCGCGGAGGACACAGACTTGCAAAAGGGGTAGCTGACTCGACTGAAAGCCACGTAAACTGACGGTCTCATTCTGATAACTATGTCTAGATACTGGGAATTCATCAGTCGCACCAAATCCGTATTCGCCATCATCCTGACCTACCTCTCGGGCTCGACGACGCTTGTGATGACGTGCGACGATTCCATCGACCTTCATGAAGTGATGGTCAAGAACGACAGCGGAGTAGTGATTGGCTTCAAGTTTGATGATAGAGCTGGTATGTCACGTATCTAAGTCTTCTGTGCGAGCCGTGCTGTTTTCCAGCGGCGTAGGCACACGTGTCAAAAGAGCTGACAGTCTTGCCTGCCAACAGTGTGGATCGCCAACCATCAGATGTATGCTGGTCAGTAGTTACCACGTTAATGAGTCCCGATTGTACCCGCCGGACCCGCGATGGTGCTGTCCATGAGGCTACGTACTGACAATCAATCTACCTCACTCCGCCGTCCCACGCCACGTCTCCACCGCCTTTTTCTCTCTACACTCCTACACCTGACCCCTCCGCAACAGACTGGATCTACATCTGGTCTCTCCTCCACCTCTCCGACCTCGCCTCGTCCCTCTCTATCGTCCTCAAAGCCTCCCTGTCCCGTGTCCCCATCGCCGGTCCCGCCATGCTTCTTTGGAAGTTCATCTTCCTCTCGCCTATGCGTCGCAGCTCAGCTCCAGCAGAACTGAACGAGGATGGCACCGTAAAAGAAAAGGCGAGGCGGGCGGCGGTCAAGGGGACTTGGGAGGGCGACAAGGAGGCGACGGGCAACATCCTGTGGAACCTTGGAAGGAGGGCGATGAACAAGGCGAAGCCAGAGAAGGGTGGCGAGAAAGGCAAGGAAGGGAAGGTGGCCCTTCTGATGTTCCCTGAGGGCACTGTGCGTTCTTTTCGATTGTGGTGGGAAGCTTGAGCAAGCACTGACTGGGTCACGATAGCTCGTCTCGCCGTTGACACGACCGAGCTCGGCCAAGTATGCCGAGAAGATGGGTATTGTAAGCTTGCGTCACTGTTACTTGCTTCCTTCTACATACTGAGCCTACGTTCGCTTTCGCAGAAGGATTGCTCCAACATGCTTCTCCCTCGTTCGACGGGCCTGCTGTTTGCGTTGCGGACGCTTCTTCCGACTATGCCCGATCTCAGTCTGTATGACATGTGAGCTGAATCAATTCTTGATCTTGGATGCATCGAGGCCCTTCTGTCGAAGCGCCGTCGCCTTCCGGCAATGCGTCAGCAAGCTGGCCCAATGGTGGCTGCCTTTTCGAACCGACAGAACGCTGACAAGAGATCTTGCCCCTTCTTAGGACTGTCGGATATCCTGGGCTTCCGCCAGCCGGCCACGCCCAGGCATACTACTCCCTCCGCTCCATCTACCTGAACGACCAAGGTCCACCCAAAGTTCACATCCACCTCCGCGCGCTCGACCTCTCGACCGTCCCCTCGCTCGGCAACCTTCAGCCAGGACCAGACGAGAAGGAGGAGTACGCGAAGAAGAGCACCAAGCCGGTTGAGGATGATGCAAAGTTGACGGACAAGGAGCGGGGCGAGTTTGATGTGTGGCTGAGGGGAGTTTGGACGGAGAAGGATGCGTTGCTGGAAGGGTTCTACGAGAAGGGCGAGTTCGAGTGTAGGGAGGGCCAGAGGGTCGAGATGCGCTTGGGAAGTCGTGGGATTGATGATTGGGTATGTCACATTTGTGCTCAACAAGAGGGTGTAGAGTTCGGCTGACCCGCGACGGCACAGCTCGCCATCATCATCACGGTCGTGCCCGTTTACGTGGCGTGGAGAGGTGTGGTCTGGTGGGGAAAGTTCTTTGGGTATTGGAAGTGATGCTTCGTTCATGCTATAGAGTTTTAATACATTATCGTTGTTACCTGCACTTACGCTCAAGTCAATAGACACGTGTAAAGAGGCTGTGCTGTGATTGACGTTGCTCCTTCGATCCACCCGCTCTCTTTCTCTCACTCTCTCTCGCTCTCTCGCTCTCTCGGCGACAAAAAGAAAAAGATGGAAAAGAAAAAGATAGAAATGAATTTAGTTCAAAACTCTCCCCACCGAAGAAAGCTACACAATGTTTTCGAAGGATGGGGTCGCCCGCGGGCGACAGCGATCGCCGCTCAGGCGGCGTGGGCAGCAGCGCCGGCAGCGGAGCCAGCAGCGATCTTCTTCTGGAGCTCGGTGACGTAGACTGAAACAGAAGACGAGAGCAGTGAGTCCAGGCGGAAGAGTGGACAGGAGGAAAGGAGAACGAGACGCACGCGAGTCCATCATCTCGTTGACCTTGATGAAGCGGTCCTTGCCGGCCTCGAACTCGATGAGGAGGATGTACTGCTCGCGTCCACCTTCTTAGCTTTCCTCTATGGAAGAAGTGATGGAAGAATTGAGGACGCACCTCGTTGGTGTAGGGGTCACCGGACTGCACGAGCGGGGAGGAAGGGTCAGCGCGCGGAGGTCGCAAGAGCGGAGCAGAGAGGAAGGGGACGCACGACAGCCTGTCCGTCAGTCTTGACGTGAACGGCGATCTTGTCGACCTGCTGGACGACGTCTATGGGCGTGCCAAACTGTTTGTTCCACCGTGAAAAGTCAGCTGCTCGTCCCATCCACTCGCTCCACCCCGCCGCGAGACGAAAAGGGGACGCACGTTGAACGACTTGACGATGGACGTCTGGAGATGCTTCATGAACTCGAGCGTCGCCTTCTTGTCGCGTCCGTCGGGCTGACCGAAGCCTCCCAAGCTCTGAGGACTGCTCTCGTCGTCGTCGTCGTCGAGGTCAGCTTTTTCGCGCGAACGAGTGGAAGGGACGCACCGGAAGAAGTAGCGGAACTTGGGGTCGTCGCTGAGGAGGCTCGCGACGCCCTGGTAGTTCCACTCGTTCAAGTACTTGAGGTGGTTCATCGCCGCCGTCTTCTGCTGGGCGAGCAGCGCCGAGTCGTCGTTGTGGTGCGAGGCCATCGCCGAGTCGACAGCAGCCTTCTGCGACAGCGCGGAGCAGGAACGAGGTCAGCTTCGAGCGCGACGACGACGACGAGCGGACAGAAACACGCACGATCTTGTCCATTGTTCTTCTTCTGGTAGCTGGGTGAAGTTTTAGTGCGAGTTGTGGGCGAAAGTCGTGCGAAAAGTGAGGGCGAGGGACGCGAGCGAGTTGAGGGGAGGAAGCGAAGGAGCTGGGGACGCGCCGAGGCTCCAAGTCAAGTCGCCCTCGCCCTTGACCCCTTTACGTCGAACCTTTCCTCGTCTCTTCTTTTGAGCCACTTGTACTTGACTGCAATAATTTTGTGCTTTCTTGAGCTGTATACTCTCGGTTTGTGCGTCACAACTCGCTACAGCTTGCACGCAGGCGGAGGAGAGCTCGTCTGCACAGCCTTCCTCCACGTATACTTCAGCGCGCCCCCGAATCGTTGTGTTACGCCCTCCTGTCTAAAGAAGAGCTTGTAGTTCCACAAACAGCTTTGAGTGTGACGCTCCTTCACCAGCCAGAGGGACACCCGCCGTTTTGGTCCTGCCACGTCCTGGTGGCGTCGCGTTGCTGCACCGCGCCTCTCAACTACGACAAGCATCAAAGCAGGCTTGCCACAGTCATAAGCTTTTCAATTCAATCCCGCTTTGTACATGTGGGTGGCCGCTACCAGGTGACAGGAGTGGTGTGCAGAAGCATCCAA